AAGACGTGATAACGGCTATCTATTTTTGCTCTATTTGGCAAACACGGTGTGAGCGCCGCTTTGTGACGACTGCGGGGGTTTTTTTTTTATTGGTATTGCATCTGTACATATTATAACCGTAAATAAAGAACACGGAATTCGGAAGATTCACACTGTATTTTTGCGAGCCACAGACTTAATCATCGTGTTATTGTAATAACAATATAATATATTCAACGTGTGGGTAGGTAATGCCGTGATGGTATTATAATGACGTGTAAAGTTTAAACAATATTACGTTTTGAGCGCGAATATTAATCAGCATGTAAGGAGGAGTGTTACACCTCGTTATGCGGTAACAAAGAGCGCGATAAAGGATTATTTTGCAGCGTCTGTGTTTTGTTTAACAGGATTTTGTAATGCAGCTGCAGTAGGTAATACGCGCGAGGAGAACGCGCGGCTCGTCGGTATTAAATAAACCGTCACGTGCGCTCGGGGATAATAACGTATAATGACATTATTTTATTATTAGTATTAGCGTAGTGTGTGTGTTTGCGTGTATACGCGCGTGTTATTCTGTTTGTGGTTACGAGTTAATATTATATACTTCTTTCAAGAACGTACGTCGGGTCTATATAATATAGGAACACAATATTATTATAAAAGGTTGACACGAACACAATCGCTTTTGATCAATATAATTGCGTCTGTTTTTAATGTCGTTTTTACCGGTACGTATGGCGAGAAGGCCACTATCTACCAATATACAGTGTACCGCGTATAGTCTACTTAAAGCTTGTATTGATTAAATTAAACGAGAATAATAAAACACTTCTTCGGGCAACGACAATAAATACGGATACTGCATGGTGTATATTATATTAAACATATTATTATTGGTTATTACATTTTGAAATGTCTTCGACGACGGTCTTTTGCCGTCGACATTGCGTGCGCTCGTGTTGAATCAAAAATCTCTACGACGTACTATAGTTATTTGTTACAATCATATCTATTATCTTAGGTTTTAATATATACTTTTGTTTGCAATTGTATGCAACGTACTTGCGACCGTATAATATTATATTGTCGCTATAAACTTGAATTTTCTCCGAGCTGACTTATTGCCGTTACAATATTTCATGTTAGTTTAATTATAATGATAAGAAATTGAACGAAAAGTTTTATTAAAATAGGTAAAGCAGTTCTCGCGAACCTTTGCTAACATACAAATAGACGGTGGTATGTGGGGGGTTAGAAATTTAATTTTCCAATGTCACTCTCTTGACAACAATTCTAATTTATATATATACACATTTTAACCAAGTTTTTTCTTTCATAAATCTGTTAGGGATTTTAAGGGTTTTTAAGGGTTTTAAGGTCATTTAAAACCCGGTATTTCTTGTGAAAACATGAAATTTGAGCATATACAAATGGTCAGGAAAGGGATCGAAAGTCTAAACTAGTAAAATGCACATTATTGATTCTTACACTATGCAATAAAAATACCCCCTGGCTTTATTTGGAAAATCTTTAGACGCGTGCAAAGCTAAAAATATCCTCTCCCCGCAAAAACACGGTGAAGTTCATATTTAAATATAACCAAAATGTTATAACTTAAATCCACCAAAAAAAACCTCTTATTCCTAAGTTTGAGTTTGTTTGGTACAGTTTGGACCTACTAAAAGTATCCATATGTATCAGAAAAAAGATTCATACACAACAGACACACTATAGTGATATAATAGCCTCAATGTCGGGAAAAATTCAACGAAAACTTATCAAAACCAGTACTTAATGATTGTTCCTCTACATCACTAACACAATAGGGATATTCCCAATTCGCAAGGTAAATATAGTTTAATTTAAATATCATATTTGAAAGTAACGATAAATAATTCATAGAAAATCAAAACCGATTCTGATGAAGCATAAGCATAATTGATTATTTTAACGGTGTTATAGCGATTTGATTAAGAAAAACGAAAGAACAATGAAAAAACTAAATTCCCCAAAGTTCTGATGGGATGAAATTAGGTACTAGATATTTCCCTTGAAGTTTACGACTTGTGTAAAAATATAGCGAAAAATGGTTTTGAAAGAGACAAAAAAAAACCACACACATCTTTATATGTATAGTTCTACTGTACGTGTGTATGTCACTGAACTCCTCCTTAACGGCTGGACTGATTTTGACGAAATTTTTATGCGTGTTTGAATGGGTCCCTGGATGGTTTAGATTCACAATTGGACCCGATAGGTGTCATTGCAAGGGTAGCTGACACAGAGTAATTGGTATTTTTAGTACAATGATTTTTTTTTTTTTTGTTGATTTATGGGTTACCCTTGGTGATACGGATGAAATTAAAAAAAACAAAAAGTCACCGACACATAAAATAAAATCATTATAATTTGTATTATTACTATTATTTACACTATTCGAATATCACAATAGAACACATTTAGACCACAGGTGGACTACCCACTTTTCACCTATTTGTTTTCATTCAATTCTAACACGGCCAAAACCAAACATGAATATGGGTAAAATAATAATAATAAAAATTGGCACGGGCAACCCCGGGCGCGGGTCAACTAGTGTTATATAAAACCGTGTTTATATTTCTCGCGTCAATCAGAAGAAAAAAAGTGCTCAGAAATTAAAACGAAAAACACTCCCCGGATGCTCAGACTAGATAATAATAATGCTCTCAGAAACGATTTTCGACCGTGGGAGTCTTGATAAATTCCGGAACGTAAATACAAAAATAATTGTATTAAAATACTCGCCAATAGTATACAAATGAATATTAATACAATTTTCTATATCGTAGTAGGTAAAGTTTAACAACCTATACCGCATTCATATATATATTAATATTATAGTACCTAATAGAGATATGATAACTAAAAAATTAATATTAGATTAAAAATTATTCGGTTATGTACAACATACGGATTTAATTATGTAAACGTAAAAATATGTACCTAATGATTGTTTCCCATGATTAGTATAAATATTGAGTATGATTATTTTTTCAAAACCCGTTTTAGTAACGCGGGAAAAAAAAGAAAAATGATGTATAGATACCTGGAGTACTATTTCATAAGGTGTTCAAGTTTAACGTCCTCATCGATATTATATTCCTGTATAATATTATTATGTTATAATAATCAGTTCGTTTTTATTTCACCTCTGCCGCATAGATAATTTCCGAAGTACCTATTGCAGTACTACAATTACATATAATATTATCTAAATGCGAGAAACGTGTCCGTAAAACTAATATTCGAAAATAATATAATCTAGAATCATATTTGATCGTAATTACTAATGGCTTATACATTATACAGAGTGATTATTTGTTCAGTTAAAATCACCTTAAACATTACTGCCGGACAATCTTACGTGTAAATTCAGTTTTATTTTCCTAACGAAAGTTTATAACTTTCGAAAAAAATTATTTTTAACATCGGATTGCCATGATCTTGTTTTTTTTTTCTTAAGAAATTAACGGCAGCTACGTTATTACTCTGTGTTGAAAATTGCCTAAGATAGCTATTTAAAGTTGATTAAAAATAGGATTTTTCTAAAATGTTCACAATATGCTTTAATGTAGCATGTGTAATTTATGATTATCATTATTTGAAATGTATTTCAAGTAATAAAATTTCTCCACTTTAAAGCCGTGCATTTTACATTTTTTGAAAAGACCATAGAATATATGCATTTCAATATATCATAATATTACATCCCGAAAAGCAAATTTAAATACAAGATTATCCACTTGAAATTTTTAGTGTTACTTGAAAAAAATGATTAAATGAAAAAAACATAGGTAAGTAGTAAGTAGGTATTAAAAGAAGTCGGACATGAAACGCTTTTTTTTTTTAAAATTTTAATTCGAGAATTTTAACAAATTATTTAAGGAACGTTTTGGGTGGTAAGTTTCTAAAGTTCCTTTCAAGTTACCAAATGAGGCAATACTGGTTAGAAATAATTGTATTACTAAAGATTAAAAATATAACTAATTTTACCTTGATCTTCGATCAGAAAATAAAATAAAAACCAATAAATTCCTCACCATACACCGATTCTAAAAGGTTTTAAATATCGACTCAGCGATGGTGAAATACGAAATCGTGTGGTGGTAGAAAGTCGAAGTTCGATTTATATATTCATTAGTAATCAGTTCGGTTGATAGTGTTACTTTGTCAATAATTTATGTCATATTATGTGTAAATAATTACATATACATTAAATATTTCTTTTAGGAATATTTGTTTAATATTGTACCTATTTTGCTGTTTAACCTACTTTTTTTCTCCAGTTTTTCCTATTTACTGAGAAAACTCCCGGAATAACCAAAAAGTTACCTCCTTAAAGTATGACCTTAGTCAGATTTCCTTTCAGAAACTATGCTATCATTGCAAATCGAAGCAAAATTGCTGGTAGAAAAGTTGTTCACAGAAAAAAAGAAATAATACAAATCATTGAAAAACCAATACATTCCTCGCTTCACTCAGAATCTAAAAGAAAGAAGTAGAAGTTACCCTAAACTTATTTATAAAATAAAAAATATGAGAGATGGAATATAAAAACATAGTGTCGAAATCGGATAAAACCAATTTCGTAGCCACTGGTCAAATGTGTCGGGCCGATGATTTCCGAAATCATTTCCGATGTCAATTCGAATTTGAATAATTCATTTCGGAATAGTATGCGTAGATATAAGGGATCTTTTCTCCCCTTTATACGCGTCATACATACGTACCTACTTATATTATACAAGCGGGTGGGTTGTTTTTTTTTTCTTGATGATATGTTGGCACTTTTTAAGATTTACTGCCAGACATCCCTTAGTCAAGGTTCAACATTTAGCATTTCCGCGTATAGATTTTTCCAAAACTGATATAACGTCATCATCATATGTTGTTAAAAAAATAAAAGTATCCCTAACACCAGGTGAAAAATCTGCATTTTTTTTATATATGTCATGAAAGTTTTTTGAGCGTTTTTACTAATTGAAAAGGTTGTTTTCCGATAGAGAAAAAACACATCTTGAGAGTTGTCGAATTGCTCCTGGATTGGTGTGTTGACCCAGCTTTTTCTCATGTTTGCGGGCAAACTTGGTAGTCTCGTCCTGGACGGAGGTGATCATCATATCTTGGTGGATAATGTCGTTTCTGTCATACTGGTATGCTGTGACAATGGTATGGAGAACGATGTCCTGGCAACGTTGAACAATCTCAATATTGGACTTGCTGCCACAACTGCACAGTTGAATTCGATAAGTCCATGAAGGTTTAATTTTTATTACGCTCAATAGACGTTTGCTTGTGAGGTCTAGTTCGGAGTGTCTATTCGACCAGTCAATATAGTTGTCACATTTTCTTCTTAATTTAGAGTTTTTTTTTTTTTTAGCGAACATGGCGTTTCCAGTTGAACCAAGAGTCAAGGGGCATACCTAAATATTGTGTTTAGAAGCGCACGGGATTGACGGCCTTTTTTTCCGAAAATGCGATCACCGCCGATATCGGATCTTTATATTAGTTTTCAATCACGTGTTCGCGCGCGTTACGATTCTCACGAGGAGAGGGTTTTTTCTTTTCGTTTTTTTTTTTTTTTTCGGTCCTGGACCGGGGAATCGTCTTGCCGAAAACCGTCGCGTGTGCATCGCGCGCAGGCAGGTACACGGGACGACGTTTTATCGCGCGCCGTAGCCGCCGTCAAAAGAGACGCGGCAAGAGTACCGGGGGGTAAGGGCGGGGGGAAAGAACGAATTCGGCCGCCGCGACGGCGCGAGCGGCGGGAGAGAGGACTGCGAATGTCTGCGCGCGTATATTTATATATATACGTATGTATAGTATTAAAACAGTTTTTATCCGCGGTCCGGACGAGGGCCGGGCGAAAACCGAATCCCTCTCCGCGCCCCGCGATAACGCGCATACCGGCCGTCCAATTATTATCGTGTCGAGTTATAATAATAATAATAATAATAATAATAATAATAATACGTATACGCGACGACGAGTCCTTTTCGCGGCCGCGGGGAATAATATTACGCGCGCCGGTCCGCAGAGGTGTCGGCGGCGGCGGCGGCGGCGGCGCTAAAAACACTTTATGAATACGTAATAAACCCGAGCGGCGGTCTGTTTAAATCGAATATTATGTTCCTCGCGTTACGTCTCGTCGCCGCCGTCACCGTCGTAATATTATATTATAACGCGCTTAAAAACACGAGCCGAAAAGCCGACAATTTGTGCGCGCGTACATACTTCTCGCGCTTCCCATCTCACCTCACTCATCTCTCCGTCCCTCCCCTCGCTACCTCCCCGCCCGTTACTCCCTGCCCCGGCCGAGACGCCCCGGCGGCGCTTGGTCATCATTCCGAATTCCGCACGTATAACCCAATCAAAACTCCGCTACGTCCGCCCCGGACGAATCGCGCGCCACGACTAAAAGCGAATTTCCACATAATATTGTGTAAAATTCGCGTGCGCGACAATATTGCCGCGACGACCGTCACTCAGTTTTCGATGTCTACGCGCGCGAATCGAGTTTCTCTTTTTCCGTTCGTTTTTTTATCCCCCGGGCGCAATATTATTTTCTCGCGGCCGATTCGCTGTAATATTATGGGCGCGTCGCACGAAACGGCTAAAACGGTTTCTAGCCACCGCGGATCATCTACGGAATGTAATAGGACTGTTCGACATGTTCACATGTAGCAATTACACGTGAAAATGCCGAACAGTCCAGTTACATCCTGTAAATGCCGATCGTAGCCTGCAAAAAAGGCCGTTCAAAAAATAACATTTGTCTATAAACATTCGATTTAATATCGAGTGAAAAAAATTTCAAAACTAAACCATAAACACATTAAATATACGTTTACCAATACGTGGTTTGGATTTCAAAGTCTTATTGTGGAATATCTTATTATATCTTGGTACATTAGGTATCTTCATTATGGAAAGAAAAATTCGAATTAATACATTAAAATTGCGTTTTTTTTTTTTAAAGTAAATTTATCATTGTAGATAAATACAACAATTACTATATGGCTTACCATATTACAGAGATTACAGTATTCACGCATAAAAAATAAAAGAGTAAGTGGCCATAGCAGGGACCTTGTATACGTTTGTTTTTATTGTTATAGTAAACTGCGCTTTCTATATACACATTGTCCAACGAAAAAATCAGAATGCATTTGATAAGTTATAAAAGGAATATCTGGGAAGAAAAAATTGATGTTTATAATGTTCGTGATTTTTTTTTTCACGAAAATCATTGATTTATATAATAATAATAAACGTAAAACTAGAAATATTCCTTATTATATCTCAGATATTTAGTGGCTTTTCACTAATCAGACGGCTCACTGTTTTTTTTTTTTTTTTTTATCTATATTATATAAATATTAACATAATATAAAATACTATATTTTTACATTAGATATTCAAATATATACAAACTATTATTTTTGATCTTGATGAATTTTCGATCATTTGTTTTCGTTTTTTTTTTTTTTTTTAATATCGACTTTTTTTCCTATGAAATTATAGTTTAAATACATAAAAAAACACTATAGTATAATATTATGACGGAATTATGTTGTTAAAATAATAGTATTGTTTTAAATGTTGAGAGAAATAAAACTTTCTGCAGTACCCCCGCACAGTACAGCGATATCGAATTCAAGCCTCAGATAATAATATATCAAAGAGATTCTTGCGAATAAACACCGTACGAAAACAACCCCCAGAGAGGATTTCTCTGTTGTCGCGGAGGGGCGATACGAGTTTTTATTGTTCCGTAATATATTGCAAATTAGTCCTTAGTTGGTCCCTCGGGCGTTCCTGACAAACCGAATTAACCGCGTTCAACGATTTGAAAGCATTTCGTCCCTATAGTATATGTGTATACAATATTTTCTCAAAACGATAAGTATATTATAGTTTAACACGCGGTTTCAGATAAGCTGAACAATACGCAGCCTATAAAGTACCTTTATATTGATACGGAACGTTCTTTATTAGTGTAAAGACATACAAAGTACACTAAATATCATTAAACAACAATCGTTTTTTTTTCGGTTGTATATCGTGATATTATTTTTTTTTTCGGATTAGTCATGCGGCGATTACGTATCATAAATTTAAAAAAAAATAAAAAAAGAAAAGTGCAGATACCGGAGAACGAATATGTTACTGTTGTAGGTGAGAATGTAGGAAACATAAAGTTGTTTAATTTTTATCTGTACGTAATGATAAACCGTAGCTCACGATGCTAAACGATTCTGAGCGAAGTTCGGTTATACATGTTTTTATGTATTATTATAATTAAAATACTTATAAAAAAAAAAAAACTACCTACCACATTATGCTCGATTTTTCAAATTTTTTACAACTAAATACAAATCAAAATTGAGCATTTATCTTTTGGTCAAGTTTATCTATTATATTTATTATAATATTAAAAATTAAAATAAAAACAAAAAATACTCGATAATATCAAATGCTTATAAATAGCTCAAAAATCGCCAGAAAGTTTTAAAAATGTCACTACATTTAGGAAACTCCAAGTTCGAGTGAATTGTGAAAATTTTCAATTTCCACTAATATATTTATTCATATAACAACAAATGAACAAAATCAAAAATAACGTAACTGTTATTTCCGTAAAATTTCCCGTTTTTTCTAAAATTTTTTTCCGGTTTTGCCCAACTGTAAATATAACCATAGTTGGAAAATCAACAAATAACCCGTTTAATAACATCCAAAATGTTTCAAAAAAGTCTTTGTCGTTTTACGATTAGAGCAAGAGTTCCGGTAGAAAAATCGCTCACAGTCATCATAGCAAAATCTTAATGTACATTCTTCGATATGCTGTTTTTTTAGATTCAGGCGAAGGAATGTATTGGTTTTACAGTAATGTTTATTTTTTAATGTTTTTATTTTTTTCTGTGAACAATTTTTTCACCAGAAATTTTGCTCCGATTTTCAAGTATAAATCCTTTTCTGAAAAGAAATTTTCCTGGGATGATACTTCAATGAAGGGGTTTGTCAATTGGGAAAAAAAGTAGGAAAAACGGGAAAATGTACGAAATGTAATATTTTCAAATCTTAAATATTACGGTTTTTCCAAACACGCTGACAGTGTTGAGAATATATATAGAATATATAACGATAATTATATATCGATAGGATACAGATAATTTTTTATAAATATATCTAGATACAGATGAAGATAAATACATATTACATTTATCTAGATTAGATAATTTTCAGATATTTTTACTGTTTTGAATTTTTCCAATTTATAGCCTACGTGAATTATTGTTGAAATCGTTTTTTTATATTAATAATTTGTTAATACCATCAGAGATTATAATTAGATACTAGTATTTATAATCAATGATATTATGAATAAAACTGCGATATTATTATTTTGGCTACAATAATAATGTGTCACGATTGATCGCGCGTTATTCAATGATCACGATCAACATCGTTGTGAAACCAATACATTTTCCGCTCCACTCAGAATCTAAAAATAAATGTTATTCATTCAAATGGAATATAAATTCAATGAAATGTGTTTAGATAGGTAATAGTGAATGTGTCATCTAAGGCAACCAATAGATATAAGATAACAGATGAGTAATTTTTTTATCCAGATTAGTCTCAATAGTCCCAACACTGAACTCCGCTAAGGACGGTTTTCTTTGGTAGCGATCAACGGTCGTCGCGTGCAAATAGACGCACATTCGAATTTCTCCTCTGCCTCTCCGATTTGTCTACCGACAACGGCGGCCCGCCCAAAACGAGTCGGTTAGTTTTGTTATTTTCAAATTCGAAAATTCATTCGAAACGGATCTTATACTGTAAAACGGCCTGGCGGCCAATATCCGTCGGAGAGCGCGGCAAACGCACTAGACGGGGTGGGGGGGGGGCGCGTAATATTACACGACACGACGGCGGCGTACGCTCGGTTCGCGCTCCGGTTGTCGCGGTCACCCAGCAGGATTCGGCGGCCGTGGGATTATGTTTTGCCGGCCGCGGGGCGACGCATGCGAAAACTATATTATCGTATAAAATTAGGAACATTTAAAGCGTTTTCGGCGATGCCCACCCCCGTACATGGTAACAACAATGTATATAAAAACACACACGCCGTATACGGGAATTAATGACCCGTGTTGCAGCGCGCCGGAGAAAAGGGGCGGTCATTGTCGGCCGCGGCCGTGACTAATTTTCACTTTCCGTTCGCGTCCGTACCCCGAACCCCCGGAACAGAACGCGGCGGCGGCGGCGGCGACTGTTATGACGACGAGAGATTATTATATTATTATTGGCTACGGCGCGCGCGTTATTATGGGTTTTTGCGCCGGACCGCATCGAATCGGCTAAAAGCGTCGCCTTTGTG